ATGGGTTTTCAGAATCCTTATGGGTTTCCTAAATCCTGATGAGTTTCCTAAATCCTGATGGGTTTCCCAAATCTCAGGGGATTTCCCAAATCCTGAGGGGTTTCCTAAATCCTTATGGGTTTTCTGAATCCTGAAGGGTTTCCTAAATCCTAAAGGGTTTCCCATATCCTGAGGGTTTCCCAAATCCCAATGGGTTTCCCAAATCCTGATGTGTTTTTCCAAATCCTCATGGGTTTTCCGGATCATGCTGGATTTTCCAAATCCCAGTGGGTTTCTTAAATCCTGCTGGCTTTTTAGGATCTTGCTGGGTTTCCCAAATCCTGCTGAATTTCCCAAATCCTGCTGAATTTCCCAAATCCCACTGGGTTTTCCTCATTCCCTTGCATCAGGAAGCTGCTGGGTTGCTCAGCAGTGTTTGGGGTGAAGCCACTGCCCCATCCCAGCTGGGATTTGCTCTCTGGTGGGACAGAAGATTCCTGGGGTGGAATCATTTCCCTTTTCCTGGTCCTGCAGGTGGAGCAGGAGCAGCTGGACAAGATCTGGCCCAAGCTGCGGGTGCTGGCGCGCTCCTCGCCCACGGACAAGCACACCCTGGTGAAAGGTGGGCACTGCCCCTCCCCAGGGGCTCCTCCCTGGAATTTTCCAGCCTGATCCAGGCTGGGATCCTTCCCTTGGGGTTTAATTTCTCGTTTCCACCACAGGAATCATCGACAGCACCGTGGGTGACCAGAGGCAGGTGGTGGCTGTGACAGGGGACGGCACCAACGATGGCCCAGCCCTGAAGAAAGCAGATGTTGGGTTTGCCATGGTAGGGCCAGCCTGGGGGTTTTCCTTTTTTCCATGGGATTCTTCCAGACCATGGAAACTCTGATCCAGATCTCTGGGATGGACTAAAAACCCAAAAAGGGATTTTATTAGGGTGTTGGGTTTGAGTCTGAGCTGCGTAGGGCTGTGAGAAAGGGGTTGGGAATTCCTTGGAGGTCTCAGAGCAGGGACCTGCCCTGTCCTGGTGTCTCTGCTGGACCCAGGAGAGCCATGGGAGCCCCAGGATTTGGTTTTTCCTGCAGCTTTTCACCCCAATTCCAGGCAAGGTGCTGGATCAGCCTTTGGGAATTGATTTATGGTGGAAAACTCTGGTTTGATGCTTTTTTATCCTGTCTGAAAGAAGCAGGGAAAGGAACCTGTTGTTTTTAACAGGTTCCCTGTGGATTAATTTAGGGACATGAGCAGGAGCTGGGTGAGGAGCAAATGAGAGATGTTTGGGAAATGTTTTTAGGAATGTGCTGAACATCCAAACACAATTCCAGAAGCAGGGAAACCCTAAACCCTAATGCCCTGCAACAGGGAGGGATTTCCCCTTTAGGAGGGATTGGGATCTGGGGAATCTGGGAATGGGCTCGTTTTGGGCAGGGCTGGGAATTCCTGCATGGAATTCCTGCGGGGCGAGCGCCTCGCTGTGCCG